GCAAACCTCTTTCAGCTGTGATTTCAGCCTTGAACAATTAGGCCACTTGGTCTCTACACCATGGTTTGAAATGAAGAGGTTTGAGTGGCTTTTCTGTTGTTCTAATAACTTACCTTTGCAGGAGTCTACGTAAGCAAAGCCCTGAAGTATCCAGTTATGACCTGCAACTGCCACCAACCGTATGCTGCCTTGATCCCTCTATGGCAAGAGGCCTCCTTTGACAAAAGTGCAGGTTCACATCACACTTCCCATTTTAACAAGGGATCCTGCATAACAGCTATGATCAGATAAAATCATTTATTGTAGTTGATTGTTTCCCATGAGAAAAGGGAATTTTCTGTAATAACCAAAACTACAGATGAGAACAAAGTGCACTTTACCCAAAAGTTGTTTTCTCATTCAGAAATAAAACCACTCTACTAACATTCTCCCTCTGACTGAACTTCAGCAACAGACTACTATTCAGTGAACTATTTATGGGAGCTGCAGATGAGCTATCTCATATCTTTAATCCCCTGTATGTCCCAAATTATATTTGCTATTACACACAGTAAAGTTCAGGAGATCTGTTGAGCCGAGATAACACCTGCTACTATTTCAAAATGTTTTTAAATTTAATTTGTGTGTTAACTTCTAAATATACTTTTGCAATCGTGTTTGTAATTGTATTGAAAGGGAGGTTTATAGAAAAATAAGAAAAAGAAGAGGCACTGGAGAACTGTTTTGACTGTACTAGTTCCCAGATTATAATGCAATACAACATAACATACCTTTTGTATATAAGCCATAGAGTTTCAAAAGCAAGAATTAAAATCAAAATCTCTCAGAGAACTTGACTGAAATGAAAAACAATGAAATAACACTTTGTCAGATATCTCTTCACTACAAATGCAACAAAGGACATTGCAGATTTCACAGAGTCTGGAAGAGAGTCTGAAGAGAGTATAGCTACATTCATCAAATAAAGCACAAATTGCATGTAAGTCATTCTAACCTCTCTGGATGCTGCAGCAGGAATTTTTTTCTTACCACTCCTTCATTTTTAAATGCATAGTTAAAAATAAAAATGTTAAAAGCGTATTGTGAAAATGGTACCAGAAATGGATTGTGCAGTCAATTTTACTGTAGCTGTTAGTCGTCCCTCATGCTTTTCCACCCTACTAGTTCCTTTTGGGGAGAGACTTAACTCCCAGCACTCACTCACCATCACAGAGGTTGCTGTGTTTCAACTGGTGACTGGGGAAATTGTCGAGAATACTGCATTGTAAGTATGCTGGGTGCAAGCAAAAAGGTTCTTAGGAACAATTGTGCAGGTAGGCACTTGCACAGGTGAAATGTAAGATCACAAAAGGGTTTAGACAGCTATGAGCTTAGTGATAATACATTCACGCTGCAGTTAGTGTAGGGACTCCAGGTAGCAAGGTGAGTGGCAAGGGAGAAGTGTGCAGTCAATTCAGGGATGTCCCTGCCTCAACATACACAACTTTGTTTTTGTTGGTAGATTGCATTTATCACAGCCACATGGTTACACATCAAACAATACAGCACTGCGACAATTAGGAGCTAGGGTCACTGTGACCTGATGATCATCTGCAGTGGCAGAATGTCCAGTTCATGAGCTGAGGCTCGGCCATGCACTCTGAGCCATGTCCTTGACTCCTTGCCAACCTCCCGAGTCCTCCCTTTTGCACTGAAGAGGATATATCTTACTAAATCGAGTTCAAGACTTCCGACGAAGTGTAGGGAAAGTGAATGAAATTGTGACCTGTTCCATATATCTTAATCTGTAACAATCCCCTCAGTGTATTGGATCAATCTCCCTTGTATTTCTATTGCAATTCTCTCCTTCCAAACAACCTCCAAACATTGCCTCTCCTATATGATTCCCAGTGTATATGTCTGGTTTGGCTCCATCAGTTCATCACCAAGAACTGACCAATTATCTGCCATGACTCCTCTTGTATCTAATAACATTTATCAGTAATTTGAGCAAGTGTGCATATTTTAATAGCATACTTTATTTTCACAATTCCACCTAGACTCTAATAAGTTATAAAGTAAGTCCTCAGATAATCTGTTGCTTCAATTAAAACTAATCCTTTAAATAAACTGCAGAAAACCAGAGACAAAGGTGGGAATGCTGCTGAGGCAGAAGTCTCCAGAGAGATGATATGCAAAGAAGCTAATGAGAGCTTTCTTGTGTACTACCCACAAATGTCACTTGCACTGCTTTTAAATCAGGTTCTGAATGTGTTTCTGATACTTGAGTTTTAAGGAAACCATATTTAGCAGACTGCAGTTGCTTCCTTCTCCATACTTAATGATAATGCTGGTGGTCCTTTGATGGATCCAGATTTGGTGATGATACAGTGCACAGAAACCCATCAAATCACACATGCTGACTCTCAAGCAAGTGAAGCATATATGCCTGCCTCACCAGAAAGGATCAGACTGAGCACTTTTAAGGGGACAATCTTGGCTCTTCAATTTCTGGCAGATCCTCATCATTCTGCTAACATCAATTTTAAGGGGTGACACTGTTTTTTTTTCATGTTCTATTGCTTTTTAGTTTTTATTTTACTTTATTTTTGTGCATGTGTGCTGAACTATCTTCTTTCTTTTGGTTGAAGCAGCCCAATAATTTAATCTTCATTAATACCTTTGGTGTTCATTATGGTAGCATTAATCACGAGAGTCACATTTGGTATCAATCTAAGTGTCATGTATGCTTTTCCAGGAATTCCACTGTAATCCAGCATTAATTAATTTACTGTTCCTGTCAATTCTGATTGAAAATTTAGGCATCACAGCACAAAAATCATTTTGAGAACTGCTGAAGCCTTTGGTACATTCTGTGTGCTTTGTAAGAAATTTGATGATTACTGTTACTCCTTTTAAAAAATTATTGCTTACAATACATCCCATAGATCAACATTAAAATGTATACTGTTACTTGCTTCACGGTGATGTAAGTCCAACGACAGTCAATTATCTAGAAGTTAAACAGTTTGAAGAGCAGTTTAAGCTATCAGACTAACTTTGTTCAGAAGGAGTTCATGAGAATTCCTACCCCTTCTGAAACGCCTCCGATTCTTCTGATTCAGCTTGAGGAATCACCAGGCAAGGGGTAGTAGCATATTAAGCATATGTGATTGTGTTTGCAGCCATTGGCTGATCATGGCCTCAGTCTCCTAAATACTCAATCTAATTTTAAATCTGGGATTTCAAGTAACATTCCAGATGTCCTTCTGTGGTCAGGAACTTAAGTACTGACACTGGGAAAACAGTATCTATAATTTCTTATTTTTTCTTCAGTCCACAGTTGTCTGTCCAAACATTAAACCTGAATCACTTAAACCACCAACTAAAACTCTGCTTCAACTGCCTCTGCTCTGTTGTTTGCTATCAGCTTCATATTTCTTGCATTACACAGTTGTCCATTTGATGCCCTAAATCTATTAATAATATTTCTCAATAAATCCAAGCAAAATAATATATCTTTAAAACTTACAGTATTGGTGTCATGGTGTCTCTCACTACCTTTCATATGATGTTCTAACGGGGCTGAAGAGGAAGATTTCTGTTTTCTGATTACGTTTCTTGCTTACTGCCACTGTACCAATGTAATAAGTCCTAGATGGTGCATTATGACAACATAATTTAAGGGAAGACATATTCATAGAGTAGAATCAGGAAATGTAGATCTCTGATATAGTCTTCTTGTATGTTATGATTCATTCAATCATACAGCCCTTTCCAGTGTAATGAATTTTGCCATCTGCAATGAAGAAGAAGCTATTTTGAATTCATGGGGTTTCCATTCATCTATCACAGCAGATGATCAAGCTTCTGCATATAGCTGAGTCCATAAAATTCAAGTGCAGTCTCATGTGGCACCTTGAAAGAAGCACGTTCTGCTTCAGTCTAAAAAATGGTTCTAAGAAGTCACTCTGGCTTGAATAAGCTACGTAATTTCACAGTCCCACTCAGGATAATAGAACTGGGCACTGCATAGACAACACAGTTCATCTTCCACCTTCTAGTTTTGCTTGTATGTTATACCACTTAACTCTGATGTCCTGTATTGTACCACATTGTAGTTTAGAGACAATAACAAGCACAACCTTTCCTTACAATTACACATCTGGCATGCTACTGTCTCAAACTTCAAAGCAAAACTCAGGCAAAAGCTTTATGCCTCAGACCTCTAACATACACTGTGCCTAGTAATCTCTGCAGTTTTGTGCATAAGTGCTACTGAATTTTCAGTTATTTAAAGCCACATCATAGGGAAGGAATAACTGTCTCTTGGCTAGCCAGTTTCTTGGTAGTAGGAGACTCAACACACAGGAAGAAAGGATTCTATGCTCTTGACCTGCCTTACATTACTACTTGTGATAAATTATTTCTACGACATCCAAATACTCTTATGCTTTTTAAATATAGAAACTGGTAAACCCAGGTTAAAAAAATCAACTACAATTTAGACTGCCATTTCACATGCCTGCCAAGAAGAGACTGCTGCAAGAGAAAGACATTCTCCCTCTGTCAGCCTAGCTCTAGTTGAAGGTCCCCAGTCTGAAAGACAATTGTATTAGAAAAAGCATGCCAGCTTGAAAAAGAATTTAAAAAGTCATAATTTTACAGGAGAAAGGCTAATGAATGCTACAATGGCATAGCAGTAAGATTCTTAGAAAGTATTGCATAAAAACATGTATTAGAAAGAACAATGCTATCATAGTAATAACATATAATTATTCCTTTGTACTTGTCTCACCCCAAATTGGGTTACTAAGAAGGTAAGAACAAATACTCTCACTTTACAGTTGGCATACCGCAGAGCAAAATATCACTCTAAAAGTTGTGTAGTAGAGTACATAATGAGCTCAGACAGCCTACACAACTTTGGCTTCAGTACATCACTGTATTTCATTATAAACAAAACCTATGAGATTTTTGTGCAGAAGAAAACAGTGTTCAATGGTTTTCTGAATGCATGAAGCTTAAGAGCCCAACTACAGAATTCTGCAATCCAGAGTACCTGTTTGCCATTCTTCAGAGTCTGTGGAAAAGAAACAGTTATTTTAAAATATGACAGTCAAGAAGAAACATTTAATGCAAAAATTAAAGATGTTGCAATAGTAAAATTTGATTCAACAGCACCTAGTGTACCCCAATACTCACACACAAGCTATTCAGGGATCCCATTCTGATTGTATGTCATAATACCCTGATATAGGTATTATTGCAGGCTACATATGCTTGTGTTATTTCTAAATTTGTTCTTTAAAGATTTGTATTTACTGCACTTATTGAAAGCTTACTAGAGAAGCCTGACTAGATTAATGTAAACGTGTACATACCTACAACAGTAGAGAAATAAATAAGAAGGTTAGTAATCGGTTACATCCTAAGACAGTGTGATTGAAAAATGCAAACTGTTTTGCAAAGGGCTTTGCAATTTCTGAAGGCTGAGAGCTGCACCAGGGCACCTTAGCTGAGGGTCATAACAAGTGCCACCTCTGGAAGCTCAAGGCGTGTCAGATGGCACAGGCCTCACCAGCAACTTTGAGAGTCATTAGAAGGCCAAATATGCAATCAGGTCATGCTAGACAACTGACCCTGGGGTTACAGGCCTGGGGAGAGATATGGGCAACTTCACAACCTGCAAGGAAAGACTTGAATGACTTACAAGCAGCACAAAAACTCTAAGACTGAAATACATTTTAATCTCCCATCATGTGATATAATGCAGGAAGCTGCTTGAGCTGGGGGTGAGAGGGCTTATTCTCTTAGTCAGAGCTGGTGCGTTAGCAGGAGATTATTGCCTTGCATGTATTAGAAAAGGAAAAGGATTGCAGCGCGGGTGACGTAGGAGAGAAAGGAGGTTACGCAGCATGAACCAGAGAAGGGGAAAATGCTACAGGCGCAATGGAAGGAGCATGTGATGATCCTCATGACTTGTAATGAAAGAGCTGGCATCCTCTTAACCAGATCTTTTGTGCAAAGTTGAAATTGTAGTAACTGTATCTCAGAAGAAACTATCAATGAACATTCCTTGTGAGAAAAAACACATTAATTTGTGAAATACATTTTGGATTATACAGCATGCTAAGCATTTCTGTGTCATTCTGTACCATAGTTATTCATTTGGATACAAAGAAATTCCAGTGCCCGCTTCGTATAAGGCTGAAGTCCTCAAAAGCAAGCTGACTCCATCACTTCTACTACGGCTGCACCTGTGCCATCATTATTCAGAATCAGTGCCTAAAGGTGTTTCCAAGGCATCACAATAAAGCGTTGGCATTCTTACAAATGAGAAAGCACCCTCTTAAGATTTGCATGTGCGTGCAGCCTTCTAGGTAAATTTTAGCTTCTAAATCTTTCATCTCTTTTGGTGCAACAAGAGAGAATTGTGCCACTTACCGTTCACTTAAAGCAACTATTGGAGATAGAGAAGGTATTTAATACAGTTCACCACAGTATCAGCACAACATTTACACTATTAAAAATCATATAAAAAGTCGTAAGGTCGCAGGTCTCTCGAATTATGACAATCCCATCACTGTATGTACCTAAAGTAAGCAGTTGGTAGTTCAAGTCACTGATTTACATTTACCAGACATACGAAAGGTGAGCATTTTTTTTTCCAAAAAACCAATATATGAATTATTAAATGTTTTGATCATAGTAAGTGCTCTCTGATCTTCCAAGTGCTCTTTTGTCATTTAGTGAGGTAAAAATCGACTAAAAATGGCTTTTTTTTTTTTTTTTTTTTTTTTAATTGGAATAGACAGCAATAGCAGCAAGATTCCTTTCTTCTATAAGGATTTCCTCACATATCTTCTTTCTTTGATTTTCAGATTTTTGCAGATCTATTTCCTTGTCGCTCTGATACATTCTCTGCTTTATTTTTCTCTGGGCTCAGCAAGCTCTGGGCTAAGACTTCTAGTCTGTCTTTTGTAAGGGTGGGTAATTATTTTAGTATCATCATACCCTTTTCCAGAACTTTGTTGTCATTTCTTGACTGCACTACACTTAACCACATAGACCATAACTTATTTCTCATTTTATTACCAAAAACTGTTTACTTTTTGCCCTGTTTCCCTGCTCTGTTGCTTCTGTTGCTGACGTATCTTAACCCTACTTTATGATGCTCTATATTCCTTGACTTTTACTTCTCTAGAGTTTTGGTACTACCATAATGAGACTTGCTGCCTGACTGCTGAACAACTGGTTTTATTGGATTCTATGTCTAACTCATCAGCTTTGGTGTTGTTTTGGAGCCTGTGGAGAAAAGGTAGGAGAAGAGGGTAGTAAGAAACAGATACAGTTAAGCAGGAGTAAGTATGGAAAAGACATCCAATAGAGAACTTTGGCTAGTGCCATTATCAGATCTTCCCCTTAACTATGCTGCACTGTATTTTTGCAAAACTAGCTTATCTATTAAAGATGAAGCTGAGAGCTTCAGTTCATTGGCCTAGTTACTTGCTAAAGTTATCTCCAGAGAAGCAGCATTCCTAGCGACTTTAACAGCATCATTCCATCAGAGTTACTTTAAACCTTGGATATTTCACTTCATATTACCTTCATTATCAAGTTGCTTTTTTCAGCAGCTTTGAAATATTATATAACTTCAATCTCCTGTGTCCCTTTGAATACAAAATCTTACTATTAATCCTGTTGCAAATGTGAATCTAGGTTATGTCACTTCCTCCATATACTTTTGCTGAAGTTGATAGAAAATGCAGCAACAGTCTTTCCCAAATTTAAATTTAAGAACTTGTTTCAATTGTAATAGTATTCTATTGGCCTTTAGGCAGTATATCAACTGAGACAGACGTATTAAAAAAAAAACAATGGATGCACTGAAACTGATAAAGTGCTGATATAGTCTTCTGGGCATTTTCAAATCTGTAGACTGAAATCACTATGGAATTTAAACAGGCATAAAAAAATACAAGGCTGAACCTTTCTTTTTCTTTTTTTTTTTTTTTTTTTTTTTATGTTTTTTTTACAGAATTTAACTTCAGTTTTGTATTTCTTCTCAAATTACTGAGAAGTTACTCAGGTAGGAAAAATATACATTCAGCCAAGTAGTTTCTAATACATAGAATCACAGAATCATAGAATCACTGGATTTTTAAGGTTGGAAAATACCTCTAAGATCATCTAGTTCAACCCTCAGCCCATCACCTCAATGCCCACTAACCGTGTCCCCAAGTACCACACCTACACATTAGAAATACATGCTAAGTTTTTGTTAATGTTTGTAAATATACCCTCTGTACTCACATTAAAAAGCATTGTCATCAAGCCAGTTAAAACAGTGCTGATAAAATAAGTTCTATTCTTATTTAGGATAAGAAGTATCTTAAGCATCTAAGGACTGTTAAATGAAAGTGACTTTGACTTCCTGGACAAAATTTCTTCAAGTTCTGTAGATATAAAAATGACATCTTATCTTTCTCTTTGCTTAGAGTTTAATTCACTGTTCAGTGCTGAATGAAATCAGTGGTCATTCTTCATTTAACTTTAGTAAGTTACAGATCAGGCCAAGAATCATATTATAGCTAAAGTAGGGATGCTATTGTACTGTCATCAACTCCTCTGATGTAACAGAGTCCTGCAACTGAATAACCTTCATTTCTGAAATTTCCTAGACTGAGAAATAGATCATGTGTACCACTTCTAATTTAATAGCTGAGAAAAGAGTCCATCCCGAACTGTGGAAACAAACCTAAGTTTCCAAAGTTTCATACTAAACAGTAAGACCTGTAAACACAAAGGAATTTTGATTTCATTTCTGTAGTGGAACTTAACCAATAAATTGTCAGTTGTCCAAAGCAGCTGATAATCCCTGCTTGACAATCAGTTCTAGCTGTTTTCACTTTCACTATCTCTGCATATATCTGTCAAAATAAGCCAGTCTGGAATGAAATGGTATCATTACATACCCAATATGCAAATTTTATGTAACCAGAACATGAATTATGGTTTCACCTTTGTTAATTTTTCTTCTCTCATGGCCAACATCTTGCCAGAGTACTTCATCTCAGAGGCTGAGGCTATACCCAAAAGATTTAACAGAGACATCTGAATCCAAAGCCTTTTCCTGACAACCTTGCGATTTTGACTGAAGATTTTCATGGTGTTCTGAAAAGATAAAAGTATCATCTTCAAAGTGATCCTCTTTATATTAGCAAACTAGGGAAGGAAACAAGTTTGAGGCCGATGCAAGCCCAGAAACAATTTTGCATTGGCAATTTTGCTGCTTGGGAAGAAGCTGCAAGTTAGAAGCTTGGTGTTTGTTACAAAACTATGCTAGTCAATATCCAACATTTTGCATTAGTAGCATTAATGGAGTTGTTTGATTGCTGAATATGCCTACTGTATACCATCACACAAGAGCATTTATGGAAAAGAGCAGGAAGCAAACATCAGAGCCTTGGCAGAGCCTTGGATACATCCTTCATTCCAAATATGATTCTGCTGATGATCAAAACAAGATTTCTTCCCAAAAGCACAAGGACATCTCATCCTAATTATTGCTGATCTGGAGAGAGTGCTACCAAGGTAAACATGTCAATCACTTTGAACCTTGTTTCATCAATTGTGGCTGTGAAGCTAAACAGCTGCCTTCAGATAGCTCATACAGTGACCTCCACCTTCTGTGTACTAATAGGAAGACAAACATCTCTGGATGTAGGGAAACTGAGGATAGCCTGAGGACTTCCAGAAAATAGACGTGAAATCCTGCTTTTATTAGCAAATGATGATACCTTTTTTGGGCTTTCAATCTCATGAGGTTAAGCTGATGACCTTCAGTTCTCTAGTGAAGGTACATTCCTTTGTCATAACTCTGAGAAGCATTACCAAGGACAGAAAAATGAATAGGCTAGATGCAAGCATAAAACCTTGATAGTCTCTGCTGGGAACAAGAAAATACTCTAACATGGAGAATGAAGTTAAAGATTCTATCAGACCAGCCTGGCTCACTGAGGACTTGCAGACTGCTGAGTCTTGAACAAGAAAAATCAGACAGTTTAGTCCAATTGGTGGCACTTGGAATATGAATTCTGATCTGAAGAAGTACTGAAGAAGAAAATAACTGGAAGCTGGGAGCAGATACTGGGGGAAGAAGTAAAGAGTGTTTTCTCTATGCTTGTAATCAACCTTAAGCATCTACTATTAGACACTCCAGGCCAAAACACTGAACAAAGATGAATCTTTATCTTGCTGAGTACTGAACTTTTCATAATCTTTCTGCTTTTCCTAAGCTTGCCTGTCCAAGTATAATGATCTCAGTGTTACCACAGACAGTCTGGAAACTGCCTGGTCATGAGGCACCACTATATCAGAAGGATGAGCTCATGTTATGAACAATCTGAACTAATATTTCCAAAGTATAAATAGGAGGAAGATGCCAGATTACTCTTACATAATGGGCAGTCATATTTCTTTTTCCATAGATATGCAATTAAAGCATTCTTAAATGCTTCCACCACTTCTTTTTCATAGCTTCTAGTGAATAGTCAAAGGACAACAGACAACAGCCTTTTGCTCCCATACTTAAGCATGCTAGCAGCTGTCCTATCATCCTTGGGGTCATATCTTCTTGTAGCATTATTATATATAGGATTTTTATTTCATAATTTTGATCATTGCATGAAGGTGAGGAGTCTTAAGGGAAAAGACCTTATTGAAGTGCCAGGGTCAACTTTCCTCACACAAAATGTTACCCCAAGATCTGTAATAGGGGTGAAAGATAGAAATGGTAGCACTCCACATATACATCTTTGCAGAAATATTTTTGTTGTTGTATGAGCCAATAAGGGATTGACTGTCCTCTGTCTTATCTTTCTACCATGCATCTTTCATGTCCCAAAGGATTGCCTGAGTCATATCACACCCTTCCTATAATGTTCCTGCTTCTTGAGCCCATAAGGGTCTTTGTGAAGTTCATCAAGTAAGCTGTGCTTAACAAAGAACCTGTTAGGTAGTCTCTTCATATTTTGCATTAGTCCATTTTGATGTCTGCTTTCAAAATAGCTAATTGCAGTTTTGGGCAAGACAAGCGAGATTTCTTTAAGATGTGATGACTGTTTTTCTGCACACAGCTGTGCTGCGAGAGATGGAATAGAATTGTTGGTTTATGTCATGCATGGAATCTGTCCCCCAGGATGAGCCCTTCCACACAGAATTAGTCAAGAGTTTTTGAGGCTGGAACAGAACTCTGGAGGTCATATTTTCCAACATCTCCACTCAAGCAGGGGCACCTAGAGTAGGTTGCCTAGGACTATGGCCAGACACTGAGTATCTCCAAAGGAGATGGAGATTCCACAGCCTCTTTAGACAATCTATGCAAGTGCCCCAAGACCCTCACAGCAAAGAGGTGCTTCCTGTTGTTCAGAGGGAATCCCCTGTGTTCCTGTCTGTGCCCATTGACTCTTGTCCTGTAAATGGGCACCACTGAAAAGAACCTAGCTCCATTCTCATTGCATCTGTCCTTCAGGTATCTACACACACTAATGAGATGCCTTCTGAACCTTCTCTTCTCTAGGCTGAAGAGTCTCAGATCTCTCAGCCTTTCTTTAGACAAGAAGTATTCCAGTTCCTTCATCACCTTTGTGGCTCTTTGCTGCTTGCAATCCAGTTGCTCCATGTCTCTCTTGTACTAGAGAGCCTAGAATTGGATGTAGCACTAGTGTGGCCTTACCAGTGTTGAAGGAGGGAAAGATCACCTACCTTGATGTGCTGGCAACACTCAGTCTAATGCAGCCCAGGTTACCACTAGCCCTCACCCTCTAGACCCAAAGTGCAGAGGGCAGAACTGGGGACAGCAGTGGGGCCCACTGGCAACACTAGTATGCAGTGAAGGAGTTGGACAGGGGCCAGGGGCTATCTAAGGGGTTATGCCAGGACGACAAGAAAACTGGGCTAGGAACAGGACTGGAAAGGGGTACAGTTGCTCAGAGGTAGCATGGTCCATGAGGAGGCGGTTTTGTTCCATTAGAGGATGATTAAGGTCTATTATGTCCCTGGGGCTTCTTCAAGGAAGGCTGGAATAGTGGATTGTATTAATTTTCATGAGTGTGAATATAGCCTTGGTTTCCTGTAAACAAGGTAAAACATACAATGTATGTTGTGTTATTTTTCTATTTTCCACCATAGATTGCAGTGAGATCTGTAATAAAGGATGCTCAGTCATGAAGGATCTGCCAAAATAGTTCCATCAGTCAGACAAGAAAAATACAAAGTTTTCACTCACTCTTTTGAAGATGGGCTGAAATGGCTCCACTGCCTCTTCACTCTAACATGACTTTTAATAAAGTAACCCTGGAAAAAAGAAAAACCCCTATGGTAAATGTTCATAATTTGCTGTCTCCCTTAGTCTGACTTAGTCATCAGAGCACACAGACACCCAAGAAAATGCCCTTCATCACAAAAAAGCAGCAACAGCCATAGTACATATTCTGCTGAATAGGAAGCCTTAACCTGTAGGCTTAACAGCACAAATCAGTTTTTTCACACTGCACAACAAATAAGAAATAAGCATTTGCCTCTACCACACCTAGAGGACAGCTGACAACTCACTACTGCCAAGAACGAATCTTACAAACACACCTATATGAATGCAAATGTCAGCCCTTCTGCTTAACTGGAGATTGCACTAGTAGTTAAAAATATATAGAGATATAGATTTGAACCAGCTCTACAAATGAAGGTCTAGCACAACATGAACTGAAATAAACAAAAACCTGACCCAATGGCAGTTACAGTAACTTGCCCTCAAGCACAACAAGTTCCAAGTGACTGTCTTAGTACACAAAAATAACTTAATAACTATCTCAGTTATACAACACTTCAGCAGTTTTGAGAGAAATGTGTGAACACTAGCTGGACTTTCTCACTCTTGGATGAATCAGAGTGCTGCAATTAATAGCGTGGGCCCTGGAAAATAGATATAAAGCATATTAGGATATATTTTTTCCATCTAGTTGCTGAAAAAGTAATGTTTTTAAGAGTCTCCATGAAATGTAATATCCTTGTGAACACAACCATCAAACATAATTTCTGTTTGCTTATGACAATATTTTCATTAAGCTTTCATTCTAAGCTTGGTTGATGGCATCCAATCCAGCAATTTCTATTGACTTTTAAGGGCTCTGCAGAAAGTGATCAGTGATCTAATATGTTCTACCTCTTCTGTTCACATTTCTTTGAAGCCCAAAATAGATTTTCAGAGCAACATCTTCCCTCCTCATACATTCATTATGTTCAAGTCACTACTACTTTTCACTAAAAACATGTACAGTTATGACACTGAGATGGTAGCACATTGCAATACAAATCTTCACTTCCATTAAAGACCATATTAAAAATTAGATTGGTTTTTCAATGCTGGATCCTAAGCTGTGATTACAAAGCAAAGTTTTCAGTTGTTTTCTGAAAACTGCTTCTGTGAATAGAAGATGATTGCTTATTTTGAAGTAGTTCTAAAACTGATCTTCAATGAACTCAACAAAATAGATCAGTTTTCTTTCCTGTCACAATGTTATCAACAGCACAATAAGACCAAGGAAATGGTCTGATGATTTCTATCTACTGGCTGAAAATCTTAACAGAGATCATTCTCTTACACTTACAAGCAAACTACTGATAGTCTGAACAACAGCAGACCAGCACAGCACTCAACTCAATGAATTCATATGACACATGCCATGATGCTCTCTACATAAACTGAACTGATATGCTCTGAGGATACAATTACACTTATGATCCTAAAATACATAACCTTGGAGAGTGTTCCTATAAAGGAAAGACAGAAAAATGAGTAATCAACAATTTGACTGGGACAATTACCTCATTTTAGTTTGCAGCCTCCACCAAACACTCCTACAACCAGCTTTAGCATGCATCTGAGATTCATATATGTCTAAAAAGCACTTCTTTTTAAAACAGATCATGTGAGGTCATCCTAACCGGTAACAAGAAGCGCTAGCACTTTGTTTTGCAAAAATGAGAAGGCATTTATAGAACAGTGAATCACAAAATCTCTTTCCCTAAGGTTTGCTTGTGGTTGGTTGTTTGCTTTTTTTTTTAACTTATGGCCAAGTCAGGTTTGTACTCAGACATATGGAATTGGAGAAATCATTTGTTTGTTTTCTAGCATGTAAACACACACTAAAGGCATACTTTGAATGAACCACGGGGAAAGAGATGACCCTCGTGCTAAAAGAAATGGTATTCTGTTTGACCATGAGTTTCTTTTACTGGAAACAGGAAAGAAGAAGAGATGGAATTGTTGCTTCCCATCCTATGGCAGGTGGCAATCAATTATTTAGAAGAGGTCAAGCAATAGTTCATATGCAAATATGTCAATTTTGGATGAAAAGCAGCACAGGACTCATCTCCAAAGTCATGCTCATAACTCAAAGGCCTTACTGAGCCAGTTTCCATCACCCACAGTTGAAGCCTATGGCCTAAAGAGCACCTTCTCTCCTGTTGCCCATCCCAGCAAGTGGCCACCTCTGTCTGGGTACTGACAGAAGTTATATGATATTTCCCATATCTCTTTCAACAGTGGTAGTTTTGGAAGAGAACCTGGCATCTCCATATGCAACAGAAATGGTGTATGTGCTGAAGTCACAGAGTGCCTGTGTAGTTGACATTTCCACTGGGGGCTTTCAGATCACTTTATAATCGTTAATGAAATTACTTATCTGACATCACAGCTATACAGACCTCATACTGTGCTATATTCGAATTTACTGATTCACACAGAATTGTGATATGGACAACCGTTAATGGAAGACATCATTAAAAGCCAGTTTGTACTGCGGTATGTACCAGATTTTGGAACGATTCCATCTCAGTTTCACAAAAATGTCTCCCTTAACATTCTCATGGCAGTTGTTTGTTTGTTTGTTTCTTGTTTTCCCTAGATTTGAGCTGCCTCACACAAGTTTTCTGCTTGTTCACTTCTTTCCATTGAGAAGAATATTTAAGATACTCAAACCAGTTTTGACCCTTGTCAAATTTAAACCTTATTTCCCCACTGGCGACAAATTTTAAAAAGGTTTGGTGTTCTTGTTTTTTGTTTTTCTCATGCCGATTTAGACCACATGAGTTGCTCCTTCAGTATGGCTGCTCAGACCTGAAGAGTTTTTCAAAAACGTGTGAGGCAGTCTTTAGCAGGATAAAAGAACTATAATAGGATAACTCCTCAGAAATCAATAAACAGACATTCAATAATGTAATGTCTGGCACTCAACTTTTCTCTACCAGGTGAAACATTTCTCAATAATTGAATTTACCTCAGATCCTTTAGGAATGTTGATGATCCATGCAGCTTCCTGGAATTAAAAATTGGAGTATTATTCTAAGTAATTTTATTTAATATGCAATAGAAAATTATCACTGAAAGTCTTGTGTCAGGGGTTCTTCATCATCTTATCTAAAAGGATTGTGTTGAATTTTCACTTGATTCAGCAGTCATCCATGTTTTTATTGCAGAAGCCTCCCAAATACCTGGTGAAAGCATCACTGACACAATGAAGTGTCACACAGAAAAAATGGTGCTGCATACTAAAGGAAACTCAGGTTGGGGTATGTCCCCTGTGCAAAAATCTCAGGCCAATTCTCTTTTGCTGCATCAGTGCTTTCACTCTATTATAGCATGGGATTGAAAAGGAGAACCTTGCTCTTTAACTTCTGGCCTTACAGCTGAAATGGACGTGGAAAAAAAGTAAATATCTCTATTTTGTATTTTGATATTTCAAGAAATATATATATTTTTTTCCCTAAGGAGTAATTACTTGCAGATAGGAAACCAAGGAATGAACCTGGTAGGATTGTACAATTAAGCGCTGTCCAGTGGATGTAATCTATGCTTTTGTTTGCTGGAAAATGCAGTTTTACAATGGTTCTCTTGTTTTCTCTCTGTTTCTGGATGGCTGCTTTATATGTTATGCTTCCAGAAAACTACTTCAGCTAAGATATGTATTACTGTAATTACCCTGCTGAAAAAGAGGCACCGCAGTTGTCTATCAGGTAATGCATATTGGCAGAACCGCATCAAAGAAAAGAGCATCGTACCGTTGTATTAGCTAAGACTTTTATCCCCGTAAGCATGTTTCACAACTCTGTATACCGTTGGCATACATAAAGAGAGCTGCTTGAGGGAGTTGTTCTGTGAAATCTGAAAAGCTTTTTGCTGGAAGCAGGAGGGATAATAAACAACCGCCCTGCTGCAGCCAGAAGAAGGAAGGGTGGGCACTGCACCGGGAGCAGCAGCAATCCAGTGCACGGCTTCCTCCTGCAGACACGTTCTCGAGTTCAGCTGCTCACACGGGATGCACGTGACCACTGTATTTTAACAGGAGAGTGGAACAAAACTAACAAGGAACAAAAATGAATCTGATGTTTTTAGAAATGAAGTCATGGCCTACTTTTACTTCCTGACCTCAGGCAAATGATTGACATTGGAGCAGACTGTGACCCGTTTAGACTGGTTTAGTGTGTCAACTGCCACCTGGTTTTATGTCATTGAACATGTAACGAGGCTCACTAAATAAGGCAGACCTAACCTAAAAAACAGCATCAGTCTTCACTTATATTTTTAGGTTGATTTCTTCTCAAATAAATTTAAATACCAACCTGAGTCCTTTGCTGTGGAAGTCTACAAGCCTCCCTGTGCTATCGGGAGAGATTAAGGATTCTATCCAGCAACACAGTTTCACTTTATTTGCGGTTGGGTTTTTTTCTGTTTTTTTTTTTTCTTTTTTCTTTTTGACCAATTCTCTTGTTTTGGTCTGAAGACCCACAGAGAAACATCATGCCAAAAACAGAAGTTTCTGTGTCTTCAGGAGGGAAGAAATACCAACTTTTCTGAAATGCAAGAAGGGAGAAGCCACATGCCAGCCCCAGCAACTGGCCAGTGCAACTGTTCTCCAGCAAAATTAACACTAACTATTTTTATTAAAAGAATTGAGTCCACGTGAGCCAACAGGGACCCTGCAACATGTTTTTTCTAATGGTGACCAGTACAGTTGCATCTGATAGCTCTGCCCTAGCCTGCTCTCAGGTAGCCATTACCTATGTCAGACTGCCTACACCATCCACTGGAAACTGAATACTTGCTACCTTTTCTCCTCCACCATCTGCAACAAAGTACTGACCTTGTCACATGCAGATAGGCTTTTGGTAGCCCTGGCATATGGGCTCTGCTTTTGATCAAGGAAGTGGTGGACAAGACTGTGCCAGAAGAAAGCATCTTGAAACTGCACAAAGCCCAAAGAGGAGCGTAATGCTGTGACTGAAAGGCCACAGCCAAGCT